TATTTATTCGTGCTTAAAAAGTAAGAAATACATAAACATGTAAACATAAATGAGATATAAGACCACATAGAGGGTAAATCTAGAACAGCACACGTCCTGAATGCACGTTTTCCACAAAACACCTGCTTCGTGCTTACACTTAAAAGAAGTGATGATCCATGATAGGCCAAATCTTTATCTCAAGACTCCAACTTTCAGTCATGTCACGTGTATAGCACAACAAACAAGCGTCCAGTTCCAAGGACAGCAGCCCTGCCCATATAGCGAGTTGGAACAATGTGGCGTCGTGTGGCCTATAGCTAATGGTTAGTGTGTCGGGCTAGAGGTCCTGGATTCCAACCCCCTAACGTCCATCGACGCTGTGACCTTACCTGACTTTGCTCACTTTGCTCAGGTGGAAATGAGTACCTAGCTTTGATAGGGACGTCCCTCGGATAGGACGTCGAATGGCTGTCCCGTATTTGAGGAAAAACCACATATCAAGCACGTTACCATACTTATCGAGAAGAGGAGGGGTCCATCCCGGTGTGAGTGGTTCAAACCTTACTGTCTTAAGGACACACCTGAAGTTACCTGAGTTAGCGCCGGATAGCAGCCAGACTCTTGTGATTCAGCCCCAACGAGTGTTAAATCCACACAATTCCACCCAAGGCTGTAAGGAGAGAGAAGCCGACCCACCCAATAACCAAATAACAAGACCGGCCTTGGTTGTCACGTACTTGATGCGTCATGATGCTTGGAATAAGGAGAACGTCTTACAGGCAGTTACAGAGGGTTTAAGAGTTAAAAGTGATTGCGTCTTGGCTTAAAAAGGAGTCGACACTTACTTCAAAGTGCGCCTTCTTCGTACAGCCTGCGGCGTAAACCTTCTGGGCTTTTGGGTACGTCACTTATTTAGCCCAACTTTCAGCACCAAGGACAGGACCGTAGTTGTTTTTTTAGTTATTTTGTTTGTTTGCTTGCTTGTTTCTATCCTTGATGTATATCACAAAATATGCCACAGTATATGAAATTATAACTATTTTACCTACTCTTGATACTAGTAAGAACACCACAATCACGTTTGCATTCTCGATACTAATGATTTTGTTAGGTTGAAAGTACTCTGGCAATAAGCCAGTGAAACTTGGACAGAAGCAGCTTTCAGCTGTCGGGTTTGATTCTGCACCTGTATTGTACAGTCTGTACAACCGGTCTTTGTGCGGTGTAACACACCAGTTTCTTGTTATGATGTTTTGATGAATACTTAGCAAACAGAGATGCGGTACCTTTATAACCTCCCTCCCGCGCGGCTACACGACTCCTGCGCGGCCCCCCAAGACGACGGCGTGAATTCCTCAGCCTCAGGATTACATCACCCCGTAAACCACTGTTTTGACATAATTGCACGCCGAGCATCACACCGCACGACGTTGTCGTCCATTTTTCCCTGGCACGCCGACATTGCCGCCGGCATCTCCGGGAGGGTAGGACGCGTCGTTGCCTGGCAACGGGAAAGTTTCACAGGGGAGTTCGCGCGGGGGTAAGTGCGCCGCACATTAGCCCAGGATCAAACTCTTGTCAGGAACTAAGTTGGGTGTGAAACTCATTTGTTCTTGGGTAAATTCCTGTAGCGCCTCGGGGTCGGCGGGGTCACGCCGGCGCGGCTGTGCGTCGTTAGCGGGACATAGAATAAAACAGGGAGAAATTGGGGCTCGTTTCGCGGGGGGAAAGGTCGCGGGAGGGGCCAGAGGGCGCGCCGGGATCACTGGCCGCCGGATGGCGAAACCGCACGATCCGGGTCCCCGCGCGCGTGTTGACGATCCTCCCGGGAACCGACAACGCCGCTCGGAACGGGCGTCGCATCCGAGCCGGGGGTTGATCGACTTGGTCGGGGCCGCGGGGTTAATGAAGAGTCAGACGGGTGCTACTCTCCCAGTTACGCCCTATTTCTTGTAATTACGACGGTCTCTTGCAAAACGTCGCCCCCTTTGCTCCGCGCAAAGCGAAACTCGTAAAAACGAATTCCAGAGAAAGGCAAAGGTCCCGCCATCGGGGGATTCTCTCCCGCATTACAATGCTTCGTACAAACCGTGACGAAATTAAACCTTAATTAACGTTCCACTAAGGAGGGGGCTGTTGACGCTACGTCTATTCATTGATACGATAAGAACATTTCAACGTGAACCAAAACGTCGACTCAAGCAGAGAAATTAGAAGTTACATTGCTACAACAAGCAAGAACAGTTATGTTTCCTTTCGGACAAATCTATAGCAATCAACGTTGTTGTTAAATGATCTAAAATGGACCAAATGACGAAACTAAAACTACAGATTTTAACAAAAAGTCACAAATATAGTATCCGCGCAAGGGAAGCTTATTTTTATCTTTCGGTCATTGACATTGAGAAGTACAAAGCGAAGCGTTCAAGAAATTGAAGAACGAACAATTTGTTTGAATGGCGTATCATGCTAGTGGCTCACTGGCGACGTATCTAATCGCATTGAGAACACGATGGTTGGGGATCGTAGTACTGACGACTAAAAGTTCTTGAGTCCGCCCGAACTGTATGTCCTAAGCAGCAAAGCACGACCGATCAAGTTCGAACGGTAAGAAGTCGAACGGCACAGGATATGTTTGAAAGGACCGAAGCCGACGCGAAACAAATAAAGACGGAAGCTTCTCTAGTATTAGGTAATGGCACTTCAAAAGAAATCTTCTGCGAGAAAATCATCTCAAATCAAACGCTAATGGGAAAATCTTTCCTACAGCTGTCGAGCCATTTTCTTACTGGCGCTCTTATCGATTAGTTGTCAAAACTTTTATGTGGTGTCACGCCGAGGCGCGCGGGGTCAATCCCGCCAAAATGCACTTGGCTCCAGGGAGATCCCGCGGGAGAGCAGGCTGTCGTCTGCGAGCGCGCGAACGGGCGGTGAGCCCGCTCTCTCCTGTCAGAACCCGGGCTGAGAAATGGCGGGAGAAAGGGCAGCGGATGGGTCAATCGATTCGTGATGGATGATAATCGATAGATAATTGATGTCTGTACGGTCCGGCCTGGGGAAGGCATACACGTACAGGCAGACTTGGGGTCTGGGCCGTGTTCGTGCCAGTCAAAGTCAAACATGGTCTCCCGAACACTACCTCCCCCCCCCTACACACACACACCATGGTTGGGGGTACCGGGTAGGTCTGGCTGTGGTTGGCTGGTGCTCCGGCTGGGAAATGTGGGAGTGGGTGGGATGTTGGGCCATGGTTGGGGACTGGTTGGCTGGTAGTTGGGTTTGGGTCAACAGTGGTCGGGGCCTAGTTGGGAATCAAATTTGACTCAAACTTAACTCAAATTTGATCCGATTTGTATAGAAAGATAGGCCTACACCTGGTCAGACTGCTCCCGAAATTCAGCCAACGCTTGTATCTTTATCCTCCTCCATAGTTTGAAATGTGGCAGAAAAAGTAACAAAATGGACCGACCTCTTCACGGTGTGAAAGAAGTAATGACAAGGTACTGTACATGTTTTCTCGCATAGAAAGGACTAGGTCACATACGTCGTACGATCACAAACTGTGGGCATTATTGGGAATGTCGTGCTTGTGCCGTAGATATATGCGTGTAACTGTCTTGCTATACTGAAAATGCTGTATTAGATCCTTGTGGGCGGTTGCTTCCGTCGCAGCCTGTTTGAAAAATACTATGACATAAAAATCGCACGGCGACTTAGAACGACTGCGAATGTAATGCCATTCAAAAGTGACATGTGTCATCTAGTTTTTCTCCTGTGGTAAGTAATAAAAAAAATCTGCCCTATGTTTGACAGATGCAAGTGCCATGTTTGCTCGTCCTCTGACACATGAGTTAACCTCCAGTCTCAGGCCACGCACATCTGACCCCCGCCCCGGACCCACGGACGTTTGTTATGAACAATATTACTGTCATTTTCTGCTTTCGTATCGTAGTTTGTAACATGACTAATCACTCTTTATCTGCAAGCAGATGGCATGATAGAATCCAATCGGCCAAGCAGTGTCCATTTAGCCACCGAATTCGAACCGTCCATGATCCACCGAAGTGGCTAATGGACACTGCTTTTTTTGGCCGATTGGATTCTGCCTTGCCACCGTGGAATCTGCTTGGAGATTAAAGCTGCATTACGTACCATTAGGACGACACAAAAAGAAAGTCGGGTATTTCTTCACAAAGTAAGTTGAATCAACCCTGATCCATTGCAAGTAAGTGCCATTCAAGACGAAGGTCAAGGTCGATTATGGACCTCATGGCGGCTATCCTTTGTATTGCAGCAAAACTTCTGTTTTTTAATGGTACTTTCAGAATACTGTTGCCGTATAATGCATCTGCTGCCTAGTCAACATACATAATTGCTGATTATTTTTTGGGATTAGTGTGTACAGGCCAGAACACTTACTGCTGCTGTTGACAGAGTCCCCCTTTCACAGAAACAGGATTACGGGATGTTGCACAAACTTTGGACGTCTTTGAAGTTGTTTAACAAAAGAGTTGTAACGTTACCGTTATTGCATGCGTGGAAGTAAATAACGTAATTATTTGTCTTACTCAACCCACTTATACATTGTATGTAGAAGTTTTTATGATACCCTATGATGCTTGTCACAAGTACAACGGAGTGTACGGAACTGGTTCAAGTATGAACAATCCCTCCATATTTCTGCCTAACTAGGCTTATCAAATATAGGTTGAGACAACTTTCAATCACAGCATACCGTTTTTGGCAAAGCAAAGAGAGACACATAAAACAGGCGAAAAGACGGGCTCAATAATTAGAATTTAGACAACTCGTTGAAGATAACGTGGAAAGACACTGCAACATTTTGATTATGGTCCTGTGGGTATGTCATTGCATTAAAGCACTCAAGAAGCCAAGAGAAACAGGATGTACAACATGTACAGTAGTGCTAGTACCTTGCCAGAGCGCACTCTGGTAGTTTATAGTAGTACTGCAGTAAGGCACTCATTTATCTGTGCACATGTTTTGATGACGACATGGTGTTGTGTGCTGTTCTGCCAGGAGCGCGCGCGATCTGAAAAGACAGTTCCGAGTTCCCTGGGTATTTGTGCAGCAATCTCCTCCCTCGCAACATTTCTTCAGCGAAATAAGCAAAAGTAAGATCCTTAAAATTATTTCTGTACTTGCATTTCTATAGCGGCGCAGCGGCAGTTTGCTATATTACACCATAAAGTAACGTAATCAAGGAGATTAAACCTCCTTCAATTTTAAGTTTAAATTATCTCCTTGATTACGTTACTAGTGTTTGCCGCTATCAAGGAGGCTTATCCCTATAACCTCCGCTGGCAACCTGACGTAAAAAGAAGGACGACCAAACCTGACACTGGAGAAAGCATTGGAAGACGAGGTTGGACTGACGGACCGCGACCTGATGGCCGCCATGCCTGACACAGTGACAGTTATACTGGAGTAGCATCCTGAGGGGCACCTCATACGAGGATGAGCTGAACCGAGTGATGACGCCCAGCTGTATAGACTCAAAAGAGGCTTTTCATTGATTGACGTCATAATAATTATCATATGGGTTTCAGCGACCAGGTGTTAACAAGTAAATTTGTTAAGTTACCAGCATGTTGGTATACATGTTTAACAGACATACATTATAATAATCCAACATGGCGCATATGAAAAGCCTGTATATTGACCCAGTACATGGCCCAGGGCAGGAAGGCATCAGAAATACCTGCAAAGCCCCAATTTTACCTGTACTAACCTGCATATATGCACGTTGTATTCCCAGCCCTCTGACCTTAGTTAACCTTGACCTATATGACCTGAGGGGGGGGGCATTATCATTGCATCGGGAGACATAGGAAGTCTTACACAAATTACACATATAACATGTCATTTACAGGTTTGTGCAGCTGGCCAGTATTACTTGAAGATGAATGAACAGGAGCGGCCAAATGGCCTGTACACCAGACAGACGGCCTTCGGGAACATGCTGTTCACCCGGGAGGAGCACAGCGCCATCCAGGCAGCATTACGCCAGCGGCTGGGCCGGGAGTTCATCAGCCAGCGACCGGGGCCGGGAAACCAGAAACTCACCTACATCGAGGGCCACAAGGCCGTGGCGCTGGCCAACGAGCTGTTCGGGTACGACGGGTGGTCCACCTTTGTCTTGTGGACCACCATCAACTTTGTGGACGAGAAAGCGGGCAGGTGTGTTACGATCGATTGCACTTGATGGACGGGATCGGCTGTTTGGGTTTGAACAACTGATCCTGTTCCAGAGCAGCTTTAAAATAAAATGTTTGTCGTTGAATTAACATACTTAATGGACAGGACTGGATGTTTGGCATTTGAAGAGCTAGTCCCACTGCAGGTTTTTTTAATAAAATGTTTGTCATAGAATTAACGTACTTGATGAACACATTCAAACAGTCCATCCTGTTCCAGAGTTTTGAATAAAATCAGTCGAGTCCAGCTTATCAGTCAGAACAGACAAGTCTCTTCTTAATTGTGTAACAGGTACAACGTCGGGGTGCACAGCTGTGTGCGCGTGATGCTGAAGAACGGAGCCTCACAGGAGGACCTCGGGTTCGGCGCTGCTGATAATGCACGCTCCAAAACTGCCGCCCTGGAGAAAGCTCTGAAGGAGTCTGTCACCGACGGTAGGAATGAAAGAAGGAATGAAGGAAGGAATGAATGTATTGCAGAATTAGAAGCTTTGTACATTGTGTACTTTTGGCTTCCTCTGTGTACTTTTGGCTTCCTCTTGCTTGTGAAAACATGAAACCATGTCTTGCATAGTGAGAGTGTGAGAGTGGGTGTTTCGAACCCTGTGTCTCTATTTAAGTATTGGAAGTAGGCACACATAGATTGTGTCAAACTGTCTCATTGTTGTAAAATCTCTATAGGTATGAAGCGGGCTCTGAAGAGGTTCGGGAATGCCTTAGGGAACTGTCTGTCTGACAAGGAGTTTCTCAACGCTGTGATGAAGACGACAAAGCCAGGAAAGTCAACATATGATGTAAATGACTTCAAGCGCGACCTAGTGGATCCAGGCATCGAAAATGCTCGGAGGGCTAGCCTGCACACCCCCACCCAGGGGCTGCCCCTCCCCACCCCCCAAGGGCTGCCCCTCCCGCAGGCCTACTCCACACCAGTACATACAGCCATGCCTCCCCAGTGTGAGGGGAATGGTATGGTTCCATTTGATGGTCACTCCAGGCAGTTCTTTGGTAACCAAGGACACAGTCGCAGTGCTAGCTGTGGGCCCATCGTCCCTTCCATGAGTGCTGGGCCATCAACAAATACTGACCCATCTACAAGCACTGGCCCGTCAACAAGTACTGGCTCGTCAACAAGCAGCAGGCCAAACTCTAAGAGAGTCCCAAATACAACAAAAGGACTACCGGTAAACTCCTGCAGTGGCCCCAGTGCTGACATTAACCCAAACATCAGCAGAGGCCCCCAAACGGGACAAACTGTTAGTAGTGTGCCAAGCACCAGTACGGGTCCCAAAACAAACAGTGGGCCTGCCACCAGCAGTGGCTCAAACATCCCAAACCATGCAGGTAGTGGCCCCAAGAAGAGCATCAGCCCAAGCAAGAGGAAGAGGGCCAGCCCACGACAGGCGGCCCCGCAGAGCCGGAAGACCTCCTTGGAAGCGGCTGGGGAATCGGATGAAGCGGCGCGGCTGAGGAAACATCGTCAGTGGCAGAAGCAGCAGGAGTTCCGCCAACAGCTGGCCAAGAAGCAGGGAAACCTACCACGGGCCACGACATCCCCGCAGGGAGCTGATGGGATAGCAGGGCCGTCTGGGAATGGGGTTGAGCTGGAGGGGTTTGACGCGGGGATGGATGACAGTCTGCTGGCGAATGCCGTCGAGAACGAATTCTGGAACGAAGACGAAAGCGCAGCGGGGGTCACTCCCACAGGTGTGATGACACGCAGTCGTACACCAGGGAAGCAGGGAGCAAGCGCCACCATGCAGCCGGGACAGAGGGGAAGTGCAGGGACAGAGGGGACCATTTGGGAGTAGGGCGGGTCAGCATGGGTGGAGTGCTCAGCACAGACAGGTAAAGCTGACTGTCCTCATCTCTCACCAGAAACATCCAAATAGTTGCTTCAAACAAGGACATTATTCTGTTTAATGTCCTTGCTTTAAAGGATTAGTATTAGTAAAGGAAGAGAAGACTAGAATTCAATAAAAGCTTCACTACTTTCTTAAGCCTGTATTGTTTATCATAATCGTGGTATTACTCATCCTTTAACCCTACCTAGACCGGGCTTTTTTTGACATGGGGGGACCGGGGGGGGGGGCTTTTTGGCCCCCC